GGTACACCTTAGTTCTCAAAGACCTCTGCCCCAAATGAAAGGTGTGTTGACTGAAAAATCTTTTCTTTAACAAATTTTTTATTGTAGAATGTGTGAAGGTTTACAGAGCAGATGATCAATTTTACATTCAACAAATCTTTTTTTGTGTGTGTGTGTGTTTTATAATGATTTGTTTTCATTTTTTTTCAAACATTGCAATCTCCTCTATGTACCAGGTACGCTCAATTCGTCACATTTACCTCCATTCACTTTAACTGTTGCATTCCTCCTCATGCATTCTGCCACCTTTATCTTTCTTCTGCTAATCTCACTCTTGTTGTATATTGCCTGTTATATACAACACATGTCAGCCCCCTAGCCAGTAAATAATTTCCTCCTAGGCCCTCAATAACCATGATAGAATGTTTATTCTATCAGGAAAATCTTTTTGTTAAACACTTAAAAACAAAACAAAATAAACATATGATAGGGTTTAGTGATCTGTTGAATACAATACTTTCTGGGGAGCTAAGGAGGGACCTAGAGTTTGGACCACTGGGAGCACCATCTTATTTCTCCCTTAGGTAACGTTGACTGACTGGGCTGAGAACACACCCAAACTCCCAGGAGCAGATTCATCAAAATGACTGACTTGAGCCCACCCACAATCTTGGACCTTGCAACCCGAAGTCTTCTTGGCAATGAGGCCTTGGCAGTTGCAGCTGTGAAATTTTTGCCCAAGGAACTCTTTCCCTCCTTGTTCATGGAGGCCATGGCTGGGAGACACAGCCAGATAGTAAAGGCCATGGTGGGGGCCTGGCCCTTTCCATGGCTCCCTTTGTGGGATCTCCTGAAGGTTTGGTATCCCCACCAGGACATCCTAAAGGCAGCATTGGATGGGCTGGGTCTCCTGCTTCACCCCAACATTCGCCCTAGGACATGCAAACTCAGAGTGCTGGACTTACGGCCAGACATTGAAACCAACTTCTGGGAGGTGTGGGCTGGAGCCCCAGCATTATCAGCGGAGCCAGCGTCCATGAATGAGAGGGGGAAAGTGGAGGATTCAAGGTTGGAGAAGTATCTCTCGGCCCCCATTCAGGTGCTAACAGACCTTTGCTTGTTGGAACCTGGCAAGGCAATCTTCAGATTCTTCACTGAGAGGATCAATGAGAGAAAAGGCCTGCCTCGACTGTGTTGTAGGAATCTGGGGTTTCGTGGCTTCTTACCCCAAAAGGAAGTGATTGAGGAGATTCTGAAGATGGTGCAACTAGACTATGTTCAGGAAGTGAGTGTGCATTGTTACTGGGACCTTCTGGACCTGACCTGGTTTGCTCCTCACCTGGGCCAGATGGTGAACCTGAACAGACTCCATCTTTCTGGAGTCACCATAAACTCCAGGTTCTCCTGGAAGGAAGAAGAGGTGGAGAAGCTAGTTGAACACTTCTTCTCTCAGGTCCTACATCTGAACCATCTCAAAGACATCCAACTGGATTATGTCCTTTCCCTCAAGGGCCACCTGCCCCAGCTGTTCATGTGCTTGCAGACCCCATTGAGAACCCTGAAGATCACCAATTGCTTCCTTCTGGAATCAGACTTTTCATGCCTGTCCTTGTGCTCCAGCACCCAGCGTCTCGAGTGCCTGGACTTGAGTGGTGTGACCATGAAGAGCTTCAGTCCTGAGCTGCTCTCAGTTCTGATTGAGAGAACCTCATCCACCCTGCAACAACTGTACTTGGGTGGATGCGACATTCTGGATGCCCAGCTCACTGCCTTGGTGCCTGCCCTGGGACACTGCTCCGAGCTTTCCGTCTTCATGTTGTGTGGAAACTACATTACAATGGGTGTCCTGGAAAACCTAGTGAGACATACAGCCCCACTCTGCAGGTATACCGTCGTGGAGCTTCCTTTCCCTCTTGATTGCTACGTGGGCATCAACCGTTCCATCCATCATCCGTTCCTTCAACAGTTTATCCATGAACTGGACCAGATGATACAGGAAATGGAGCTGCACTGCTCAATAGGGTATGGTCATAGTAAGCGTTACCTCAGTGTAGGATACCATGCAATTTTCTTAGAATTTGACATCTGATGCATACTATGATCTTTGCTTCTCATTAAAAATATGTTTCTGAAAGATTTGTGCTTGTAATGTTTATGGGATCATGTGTGTTTACAATCAGGATCATTGAGTGATTTGTGCCCCATTCGTTAGTTTCCATTGTGAGGAGGGATGAACTTCATGTCAGTACCCTTACTCAAGTCCCCACCTTCCTTGAGTCATAACTTTATTGCACAAGGTGTAAAGGAGACAGGACAGCAGAGATGGGATGCTGACTACCACCAACAAAGAAAGAGTACCACATCGACATTTGCTAGGATCCACCAAGACTATAAATTTTATAAGGACCCCAGAATCTTCCCCTCACAATGCACACACAGAGAGTGTCTTCCCTTAGACTTAATTTGTACTTCTAGCCTGTTAAACAATTAGTGATGAAAGTTTGTGTCATCCAACTCCATTCGGTATATTCTGTTCTAACATTACTAGAGAAGAGGCCAAGATTGTCTATTTTTGAATACATTCCAAATCTCATTGACCGGAAATGAAGTGAGTTGCTCTACTGGGCACAGCGGGAACACACAGGTACTATGGAACATACAGGTGACATACACTGTGATGATTCATTGTACGGGTCAAGCTGGTTGAGTCCTGGATGTCCATGGTTTGGCAGTGATGGAATGATGTCATTGCACAGTTATGGGATGATCTTCCCGAAGTGATGAGTCCATTCGCTGTGATAGGATTAATGGTGATCATCAGCTCCTTTAAACATATTGTAGTCCTCAACTGTTGTCCAAAGCACATTGATCACACCTGAGAATTTGTGGGCTTCCATTCTGGTGAACCAAGATCCCATTTGAGGACTAACAGGTACTGTATGCAAACTACGTTGTTTCTGATGCCTTCCTATATGTGCAAAACAGGACAGTGTAAAAGAAACACCAGAGGAGAATCAATGCATTGCAATGTGGTGTTGGAGCAGAATAGTGAACATATCAGGGTCTTCTAGAAGAATGAAGAAATTTGACGTTGTGTAAGCTCTGTCACAATGCTCCTTAGAAGCAACTTTGAGTAGACTTCTTCTAATGAAATTTTCATAGGTTTAGTTTGTCTACAGAACACAGTCGAAGACATTTGGTAACGAGACAGTGGCATTTTAGAAACACAAATATTAAAGACGAGTGTTCTAAATTGGGTCTCAATTCTGACTAAGTTTAAGGGCCCTCTGCTATCACTAGAAAGCACGGTTCCTACTCATAGTGTTTCTCCCTCATAACGACCTCCATAGGCAGCTGCTGGTGGGATTCAACCTCTGGCATTGTGGTTTTAGTCCATTGTTGATCATATAGCACCACAGGAGAGTGCGAGGGTGTTGCTAATCCACAAAGTGAGGTGAGAATTAGAAATATAATTATATACCAATCATACAATGAATATCGATACTTATATAAATTAATAAAGACATTCCATAATTGATATATAAATATCACTAATAGATCACAGAGTGGGAGAATTTTTCAGGATAAGAATTATAGAGAAGCAGGTTGGTTGGTCCTACTTACAATACTTACAATAGAGCAAAGTAAAGGAAAAAGACCAGTTTGGGCTAAGGACTTACAGCTCTAGTGCCACGTAAAAGACCTCAAAAGTTTTCACTTACACCTCCTGAAAGAAAGTCTATTCCTTAGAGTTGTTGTTAAGTTTATCTCCACTCATAGAGAATCTGTGTAGGGTTTCTGTGATTTTAAGTATTCCTAAGAGCACAAAGGCCCATCGTTATCCTACAGAACGGTTGGAGGAGACCGACTTTCAAGGTTTTAAGGTTTTAAAACTCATTAAAAACCTGAAATCTGCAGATGATACTTTACTTGCTGAGGGTGACAAGTACTTAAAACATTTATTGATGAACATCAAAGTCTGGGGGAAGGTCCTTGTCTGTTTTGCCAATCAGTGGACGCATGTCACTCCATGATCCTCCCCATCTACCTGCCCCACTGATCTCACGTGTTCTCAAAACAGGGACCCATGTCCAAAGGATGTCCTTGATACATTTCTCTCCCCTCTGAGCCACAGTTGGTCCTTCTCTGTCCGTTTATGGCTTGTAAGATGAGGACCACAACACACAGAGACCCCATTGCATCTGACACATGGAGACCCCCATTGCAGCTGACACATGGAGACCCCCATTGCATCTGACCCAGCCTGCAATGGGATAAAGGGTGTTATAGCCCGCAGTTCACCCAGTGACAAGTGATGGCTGATTGCACCATGGAAAATGAATACCAAGTTGCAAAACCACTGAGAATCATGTCATTGAGCAAGATGACCCCTCTAATAAAGGATCACCTTTAGATAAAAGATGAGTACAATAAGATTCCACAGAGAGAAGTTATACAGGAGTTGAGTGAGGAAAGAGACAGAAAAGGTGACCAGTAACTGAAAATGTACATGTCTCCCCTTTGCCATGAAGAACTTAACTATGGTGGGAATGCATTCAGGTCACCAATAAAGGAACCTGTTCTCATGGCTCACTAATAAAGTCATAACAGAAATACTTCACAGGGATGGCTTTGTCAATGTGGTTTATTAATGAGGATTCAAGTACAAATTCATAGCACAGCATGTATGGGAAGACTTTCTCTCTCTGATGGCTCAGGGTGGGGGCAGGTGCTGATGTTCCTAGGACATCCCTGTATATCTTGGTATCAATCTTCTAGAAGGTTCCCATGCAAGAGACCTTGGGTGCAAAGGACAACCTGCACTGATGGGTCTTCCTTCCTGTGGGACTCAGTTTTCCTTGTTGCTCCCTTCCCTCTACTTTTCCCTCTTTTACAATGAAGGTGTTACTCAAGCAAATGTGATGACTTCAAGTGCATCCATTCCCCAAATTAATACAGTAGATACAGCTCAATCCCCCTGATTTCTTTGTACAAAATAACAAACATAACACTTTCACAAACTAGAGACAGAGGTTAGGTTGGAAATCAGAACTCACAAATTGGATGAAAATAGTATCATATCCTTTGATGGGGTCCTGGGAGCTATGGCCGAACCATACCCAGCTAGGCAGCAGTAAGTACTGGAGCATCTGGCCCAGCTTGGTAATGTACCATTGAAGGGTCGGCCGATGGAGGGATCCCGGGTTGCCCAAGTAGCAATCCAGAGGGACAGGAAGCTCTAGGCGTCGAAACTTGCAGCACTGGGCTGTGTATCTCAACAAGTGCTCCAGGACAACCATGGAGACATGGTTTCCATACAACGTGAAGTCGGTGAGCTGAGAGCACTGTCCCAGGGCAGACAGCAATCTGGTAATGTGAGAATTTCTGATCTCACATCCACCCAAGTTCAGACGTTCCAGTGTAGAAGAGGCTGTCTCTAGCAGAGCTGAGAGGAGCTTAGGATTGAAGCTCTTCATGGGCACACCACTCAAATCCAGACACTTGAGATGTTGGGTGCTGGGGCAGAAGGACAGCCATGCCATGTCTGATTCCAGAAGAAAGCAATCAGTGATCTTGAGGGTTGCCAAGGGGGTCTGCATGCAGCTAAACAGCTGGGGCAGGTAGCCGTTAAGGAAAAGGACACACTCCAGGTGGAGGTGCTGTAGCTGGGGCAGGTTGAGGAATAGAGTGGAGAACTGGTCAGCTAGCTTCCCCACCTCTTCTTCCTTCCCAGAGGACCTGCAATTTACAGCAATTCCGGAGAGACAGAGTCTGCTCAGATTCAGCATCCGGCCCAGGTGAGGAGCAAACCAGGTCAGGTCCTGAAGGTCCCAGCTGCAATCCACACTCACCTCCTGAACATCCTCCAGTTGTACCATCCTCAGGATCTTGTCAATCACTTCCTTTTGGGGTAGGACTCCAGGAAACACCAACTTCCTACAGCACAGGCGAGGCAGGCCTTTTCTCTCGTTGACCCTCTCAGTGAGGAAGGTGAAGAGTGCATTGTCAGGATCCATCACACACAGGTC